GTACTCAACCGGAGATACAGCCAAGGGGGGATCCTTGGGTCCCGGTGCGTGTGGTTTCTGCATGGATGAGTTGAAAGTTGGACTTACGTCGGGTGTGTTTGGCAGCTGGGTTGATGTCATGGTGTGCTGTGTCTGCTCCGCTTCTTGTTTCTTCGTCCAAGCCTGATGGGGTTGTTCCTCCTTTGTCTCAGCTCAGCCTGCTTTATAGGGAACCAGCGCCCTGCTCAGGGGCGGAGTTTGTGTTCACTCCTCCCCTCGTGGTTTGATGTGTCAGTTCTGGGTGTGTTTCCACAGACTAACTCCACCCTTCCATTTTCTAAGGAAACGGTTCCTGATTTTTAATTTGGCTCGGGGTAGAAGTGACTTTGTTGAATTTGCGATGTACCGCTTCTCCTGTTGTTGGATGAGTTCAAGATGATCTTGGTCTTCTGTAGTCCCGCCTCATGTAGTGTAGCTGCTTCCTACTTTTTGGTTTGCTCTCTAGTTCGAGAGAGGTCTGTTTGCAACCACGAGGTGCTGGGGTTCTTCAGGGAACATGAAGAACGGGGGGATTGCGTGTGGTCCGGACCACTTTAACAGCTGAGTCACAGTTGCCTCGAGGAGCTGCTTGTAAGTCGGGAATTCTTGATCTCCGTAGTTTAGATTCAGTGCCTCCCTTGGTGCTGCTCCAAGGATCTTCCTAGGCTGCTCCACCGTTAAGACATGCCTTCCTCTTGATGGGTTTACCTCTATGATTACTCTGAAGTTCCTGATTCTGTAGTCTGGATCAGGGTGAAAATGGCTCTGCTGGATCGTGATGTGCATCTTCCTTCAGTGCTGAGTGTCCAAGTGCTATTTTGGCTTCAGTCACACTTTTATTCAGCACCTTTGTCTCCTCCTTCTGGAGGGGAGGGATTTGTGACTCCTCCTATCTCAACTTCACCGTTGATTCTGAAAATTACCTTTTATGGTGATTTCACTCATGTTCCTTCATCATTCTTTACAGATGGCATTTGACATTTTTAATGAGCCAATAGGGACCAACAATATAGCTCAGAGTCAGAATTTCCTTTTTAGGGGATGTTGAGTCTGTTCTCACACTAATCTTTGAAGCTTCTTGTCCCCAGTGTTTTTCTCCACAATTATTGAATCAGCTGCGTTTGAAGAAAGCGATTATAATAATATGAGCTAAGGCTGTGAGTCCTCATTCCCAATTTACTCTTTGTTCTGAAGAAGGTGTTTATACTCATTCTCCTTTGGGGGGAAGGCCCTGAGGCATAATTCTCTCAGGGCTACCCTTGCCAGGACAGCAGCAACCAGGATACCAAGGACCGCCAAGCAGTATGGCCAAATTTTTTCCAACATTTTTATGGCTCCTTCTTCAACCGCTTCTGCTCCTTCGGCAACGATTTCAATGGCTCCTTTCGCCAGGGTTTTAACCTCTCTCAGAGCTGTTGTTTGCAAGGTCTCATACCAAGCACAAGTGTGCTTGTCGTTGTCAGGTCCGCATTTCTTCCAGACCTCCTCTGGGTATTTGCAGGTTAGGTTGGAGTAGAGCAGGTTTTGGCCTACCCACTCAAATCCTTCTTTTTCGAGGCCCAAGCACAGTCCTCTTCTGAAAGCATGACTTTCAGCTATCGTGATCATTGTGTCCGGGACTGAGGGGATTATGTCTCCCCAAATCTCTTTGCGAGACTTCATACGGGGGCCTATGATGGCATTAACGCAGCGATCACGGGCCATGGCCCTGCGATATACATTTGTTGCACTTGATACCAAGTTTGTATAAAGGGTCGGCCGTGTCTTGGTCCATACTGCCACAGACTCATGAGTAAGGTACTCATTTGCATAAAAACGCTCACAGTAACCTTCCCAATCTGACAATTCACTGCAGGGTCTTCGGGCCAAGCTCACTGAGCAGGTGTTTCCACTTTTGGCACAGATCATTTTCCAAGGCCTGGGACTGACATATCTGTCTGGTCTGTAAAGCCAAGAGGACCATATATCATGTTCCTTGGAGTACACAGTTGCCA